GAGGAGTGGCTGGTGGGTTTGAACCGCCAGCTGTCTGGTTAGCAGGCAAGTGTCTTAGCCACTATGCTACCAGAGCTCCCAACCCTAAGGTAGTTGACTACAAGATTTGGCTTTTTCTGGGAATCAAGGTCAGATACAAGCCTGAGAGTTAGTGTCTAGTCTTTTTCACAGCTATTCCCTAGGGACAAGTTTACACCTAGATCTAGGGCAAGACTGTAATCCTGCTATCTCCTGGGATTTCAGTTTAGCCCTAGTATGTAAAATGCTGGGAGCTCTGGTGGGGTAGTGCCTAAGGCATATGCTAACCAGAAGGCTGGAGGTTCAAACCCACCAGCCACTCTTCGGAAGGAAGGTGGCTAATCTACTTCCGTAAAGATACTGCCTCTAAAACCCAAGGAGGGGTTGTTGTGAGTCGGATGTGACTCGAGGGCAGTGAATTTGGGTTTTTTTTTTTTTTTTTTTTTTGGTTTATGTAAAATGCTTACCTAAATGCATAACCGCCATAAGCCCTTCGCTATATATTGCTTTATGAATTGTTAGGGTATGATCTTTTCTGGGGGCTTAAAGCCTTTATTTAGTAGGTTGGGGTTAGTAAACAACATAGGTGAATTCAGGGTGCAACAGCTAAAACCACTAGCTGCATTTTATGCTCGTTCAGAGTAGCAACATGCACACACCTAGTTCAGCGAGACAATGACAAAATCTCCTCCCTTTTAACATTAATAATCAAAAGAGAGTAGCAATATCAGTCTCAAAACGCAGTACACACAGCGCTGCAGCGAACCAACTCTTGCTGGGGAGCGATCTCAAGCTAGGCAGCCTCCTTGTGACGTCAAATCAGCGGACTCTCGCCCCGGCCTTAGGCCGGTTCCGGTTCCCTGGCTTTCCGGGCGCGAGAATACGCGACCGCGGCGGCGTTCTGCGCGTGCTCCTCAGAGGGACGCGAGAAGGTTGGGTCGGCTCGTGAAGGAGATGCATGATTGGCTGACTCCGTGCTGGGGGGTTCCCTAGCCCTTTCGGCAGGGGTAAAACAATAAGAGGGGGCGGTGGCAAAGTGGGCGGGACGTCCGTGTTCCTTGTCGTTCGCCGCAGTGCCTGGCGCCCGGGAAGAAGTGGTTGTGCGGGAAACACGCTCTCTGCAACCCGGCTCCGGACCTTGAGGTTTGTCGGTGGGAGGGGGCGGCAAGCAAAAAGAAACCTCTGCATCTGCGTCTCCGCGACACTCCTGTTGACCTCCGTGCGACGTAGCCGCCGCCGCTGTTGGTTGGAGGTGTGTACGGGGGCCGGTAGGGGAGGTCGGTGTGGTGGTCGAAAGGGGACATTCCGTTCGCGCGCCGGGGCTCAAGGCAACCGTCTTGTGTGTGAGCCTGGGTGTTGGTGGTGTAGTAGAAGAAAGACATTGTTCTTGTTGACTGCCTACCCTGCGGTGTGTGCGTGAGAGAAATCGAGTTTTTCATCTCAGGTGAGGGATGAAAAGCCCCGTAGTATGGGAAGTGACCGGCGCACGTTGTGCGGACGGAGGGCTCTGAGAGCACAGGTGGGGTCGGGGTTGGTTGGGGATGTGGCGGCGAGGTGGGGAAGGGGACGCAGCAGCTCTCGAAGGGGCGCTGATGGCGGCTTGATACTGGAGACTGGGGCTCTCTGGAGAGAATGTTTTAGGAAAGGTAGCAGACTAATTTGCGGCTCTTAATTCCCGGTTCCATCGGAGCCGGGCGACTGGCGCCGCCCCGCCCGTGGGGGAGGGGGAAAGTGGCTGTGTCGGCGGAGGCAGAAGCGACGCAGATGCGAAAGTAGCGGCCTCCGGGCACCATTTCTGTGGACGGAAACAAAATCCGGGTTTGAAGGCAGCTGTCGCTTTGATTACCCAATACCTAGTGTTCCATCGTCTTTGACCTGCCCCCCTACCTCCCCGGAGGGGTAGTCTGGACATGGTCAGATACCGGCTGTAACGTGCGCCCTTTGGTGCCCTTTTTATGCAGAAGATCCCTTATTGACCCACCCAGGAATAGAAGAGTGTTTGACTGTCTTGGGGAATGAGCTTCGGCCTATATTCCACCACTTTGTTTTGCGAGGGAGGAGGAAAGAGAGTATAAGCTTCCCTAGAGTGTTGATTTTGTTTGTCGAATCTTGATTGAATTTTTTCCCTGCGTCTCTAAAAGCCGGTTTCTTAAGATGGCTCTCTGCAGCTTTGGGGCCAATATAGATTTGCATCTGCCATTTTCCACATAGATCAAGAATTTTTCCCCGAAGGATACCTGATTTCTTACGGTTTGAGGGGTGTGCATTTACCTTTTTTTTTTTTTTCCTTCTTTTTTTAAAGCACGTGCACCGAAGCTGGGAGTAATAGCAAAGTTGTCTTTCCTCGTCCCTTCTGCTTGTTGTGATGTTAACTTGGAGTAAAATAAGGGTTTTTAGGTTTAGAGCTCTACATCTTGTGCTGATCTTCCAAACGCTAGCACTGCAATTAACTGGATCTATAATCATTTAACTGCGGTTTAGGGAGCCCATTTGCTTGAGGGGAAGAAGCTGGGAATTCCTTGTGCAACTCCATATTTGGAAGTTAACATAGCCATAGGCATGTGGCAAAGTTTCCAAGTAAACATTTGCCCAGTGAGTAGCCGTTGGTCCTTTTAATGCCGAAGATTCCTAGTTGGGTGGTGATGGTTATTGATTTAAGGTATGATCAGTTGGAACCTCTTAGGACTGAACTGTGTTATTTGGGCGATACTAACTTTTCTTAGTTTTTAGGATTAGTCATGTATTATTTCATATCTATACATCGGTTGTTTGATTCTATTGTAGAGAGAATAAGGGCCTTAAATGGATTGCTTGCTATCTAAGAGCTGTCCCGGTTCAGGTCGAATATTCAGGGTTGAAGTATTAGTGGTGATAAACATGTATCTAGAGTGGAATGAACTAGAACGGTTGTGGAATGGATGAGGATCAGAAGAAGCAGGTAAAGAAAAAGAAAGTCATTTGATAACTTGGTGTAGTCTTAAGTGTTCAGTTAGCGGTTCACTTCAAGTCAGCAGTCAGCTCCTGGTTTGGATAAAGTGTTGGCACTGTTGGTAGCAGGAAATATTTATTATCCACGTTTGATTTATGAGAGATCAAAAATCAAAATTACTGTGTCAGTTACAAAACAATCTACTGATGTTATCTTAAGATTCTTTAACAATTTTCTTATCCTGAAGAATTATTGCTGTTGATTACCAGTTATCAGTAATGAAAATCCTTTCCTAGGTTGCTTTTAAAAAAAATACCCCACATTTTTATGCTGAATGGATATGAGGGGCAGTGAATCACACCCCCTTTCAAAGCTTGATTTGGTAGGCACAAACTTAGGAGTTGCTTCTCAACTTCAATAGAATTTAATTGACCTAGTTTCTCTCCACTCCACTGGTAGACACCTGTTTAATATTGATAGAACAAATTAATTCTTCTTCTAGAACTCCTGGCCTGATGTCAGAAGCAATAGAGTCCATTTTTAGACGGCTGCATCTCAGCTTATTTTTAATCATTTAATTTTTAAATATTTTACTCTAATTTGATATTTTAGAAGGCACATTGGGATGACTTTGTTTTTCCTATTATGTTCCTGTCCTATATTTCCTCTGCTTTGTATCTCCTCCCAACAGTTCCTTAAAATTAAACTAAGAGTTATTTTGGGTTTTTTTTCCCCCTTATTTCTGTGTCATTGGAGTATCAGTGGAGGCAGGACTTGATTTCAGATCCTCTCTTTTAATTGTAACTGAGGAATCTGAACACCTTTTCTTAAGCTTTCTAAACCTATTTCCTTTTCTGTAAATGAAGCTAATAGACTGTTTATTTAAGGGAATAAGCTTATTAAGCTTGAAGCATAATATAAATACATTTTATTTTTGTGGGCCTCCATTTTTAATCCTTGGCTTTATTTATTTTTGCTATTTCATATCACATTCATATGTGCAGAATGCATTAATCTGAAAAGCCCACATTTTAAGGGACAAAAATAATAAATTACTGCTGAAATACTGCACAGAAATTTTATAAACAGTCATTTTGGTGTCAGTCCCTCTTACAGTGTCGCCTGATGTACCACTGGGCCCAACTCTACCAACAAAAAAAAGAAAGAGAAAAGCCCAAATTTTAAGAATCACTGTTGAGTTTGAAGTGCTCAGCGTGAATCATCATTTTCACACACACACACACACAATTTTATACCTACATCAAAAGCTAATTCATTAACAGTAGTCATTTAACAGATAATATGCTACGAGTCGGGGCCGACTCGACGGCAAATAACAACAACAACATGCTTTATCCTTGGGATGTAAATATAAAAAATATAAATATTTTTCTTAAATTATATAAAAAAACAAAAAACCCAAATTCATTGCCCTTGAGT